GAGCAGGGGCAGGGCGACATGCCAGTGGGCACAGTTTCGGTCAGACGGGAAGGAAAAGTTCTCTAGCTAAGGCGAGGAAGTGGCTGCATGGAGGACACACCGCACTCTTCCGAACAGCTGAAACAGTGGGCTGGGGCGTGTGGGACGGCCCGCAGTCCCAGCCCCTGCCCTGTGGAGGCGGGAAGGTGAGGGGTTCAAGGTCAGCCTGGCTGCACAGAACCGGCCAGCCAGGATGGATCACACAGGGCTCTGTCTGAGAACAACGGTAATCTTTGTCAGTGCCGGGGACTGAACCCGGGACCTCAAGCATGCCAGACAGGTGCTCTACCACGGAAGCTGCGCCTGAGCTCCCCCCCGAAAGACCCTAAGTGTCCCGCGGCGCAGAAACGGTAAACATTTGTGGTGACGGGTGTGTGCACAGCCTCTGCAGTCACTGTGTTGCTGAGCCGTTCTCTCCCCGGTTGGTCCTCACTTTCTTATCTGTGAGGTGAGGGCCAACTGTGTCACTCTTCCCTGGGCTTTGCTGGGGCCTGAGTGACGCCATTATCCAGACAGCGCTTTAGAAATCTGGACACTTACAGGCGCCGGCCGCCACTGTCTCCCCACGGCCCCCGCCCCACCAGGAGCTGTCAGGGTGAGACGGGACCCCCCGCCGTGCAGACCCCCCTGCCGTGCAGAACCCCCTCCCAGCCACCGACAGGCTCTGCAGAGCAGGACAGCCACCTGCCTGGGCCATGGGGCCACTGAGTGATTCAGGGACTCCCTGCTAGGCCTGGTGGTGACACAGCTGAGGCAGAGGCGGGCGGATCTCAGGCAGCCGAGGCCACACAGTGAGACCCTGGGGGAGGGCTCAAGCCCAGCGAAACGCTGGCTTCTCCTGGTTCAAAGGTCATTCGGGAGTCACGCTTGACCCATGGGGTCCATGTCCTTCCTGTGAGAGGCAGCATGTGTCCCCACTTCCCATGGCTCCCGGGTCCCTACTTCCAGGGTCTGCAGGCCTCTTCCCTTCCACGCCCTGTTCAACGCCCCTCACAAGACTTGGTGCCTGCCGAGCCTGTGACAAACACTGGGACCGGAGCCCAGGCTGCCCCCCGAACTGTGTAGCCAAGGGCGTGCCGGGACTCTCTGAGCCTGTCTGTCCCTGCCTCCTGCCTCTTCCTCGTGAGCTCTGGGGTCACAGGTGTGTGCCACACCGGGTTTACACAGTGCTGGTGGCCACAGAGGCCAGGACCTCCCGTAAGCGCGCCCACCAACTGGCCACAGCCCCGAAACAACTGTGCTTTGCTTTTCTTGAGTTAGAGGCTCATGCTGTAGCCCAGGTGCTCTGGAGCACAGGGCAGTCTCCTGCCTCAGCCTCCTGAGGACGAGAACTACAGGCCTGTGATGCCACACCTGGCTTTAGAATAGTTTCAGTCCCTTGTCTTCATCCTCTCCCTCAGGCCTGCCTCCTCACTCACTTCATTTTGTCCCTGTGTGTGGTGTGTGTGTGGTGTGTGTGTGGTGTGTGTGTGGTGGTGTGTGTGTGTGTGTGTGGTGTGTGTGTGGTGTGTGTGGTGTGTGCAGGCCTGTACACACGAGCACACATTCGTGCAGGGACAGGTGAGTGGCGGGTGTGATCACTGACTCTCCCCTGTAGTTTTGAGGCAGGGTCTCTCGCTGGAGCAGAAGGCCCACGGTTCAGCTGGGCTGGGGCCGGCAAGCCCTAGTGCCTCGCTGCCTCCCCCGAGCCAGGACCTCTGGCCGGAACTGCTGAGCCCGGGGTTTTCCTGGGGCGCTGGGTCCCCCGAGTCTCAGCTTTATGAACCTCACAGACCGCCACGGCCCCAGGCTGCAGCAGTGTGTCACGAGGCTAAGGCTGGCCTGACCCGCAGCCTCCACCTCCCCGCGCTGGGCTGTGAGCCCCCAGGCCTGGCTTCCCCTCACCTCTGAGCAGCAGTCCCTGCCCACGTCACCGCCACCGGCCATGAAGCTTCCCCCTGGCCTTACACAAGCCAAGCTGCTTCCCCGCCTGGCCGGGCCGTTCCCTCTCCCTGCCCCCCACCCCCCAACACTGACTCACTCAGCTCTCGCTCTCAGGGGCCATCTCAGTGAAATCTCTCCTAACCACGAGCGAGCCCGGGCTCCTCCCTTTCCCACGAGGCCTTGTTTTGTTTTGCACACCACCCTTCCTCCGAACCATAGGGTGGCCTGGTCTGTGTGTTCAGCCTGTCTCCCTGCCAGGGTACGCGGTCCTCAGGACAAGTGGCACGCAGAGGGTGGCGCACACCAGTAGGCGACCCGTGGACAGAAGGGAAGACCCCAGCTGCTCTCCGGGGAAGAATCCGAGTGGGGAGCATTAGGAGGCGAATGTGGGGTTCAAGGCCAGGCTGGGCAGTGAGGTTCAAGGTTGGCTTGGCTCGGCACTGGGGACACTTGCCGCCCTTTCTGAGGACATCTGGCCTCCGGACACCCCACACACAGCGCGCATGCACACAAATGCACACAGGTGCACAGAAGAGAAAAATAAATCTAAAAACCAGAGAACTGAAGAGTCGGGGAGGAAAAAAAAGGGAGCCAGGCAAGGTGGCGCACACCTGTGATCCCAGCACTCAGGGAGGCAGAGGCAGGGGGATCTCTGTGAGTTCGAGGCCAGCCCGCTCTACAGAGCGAGTCCAGGACAGCCAGGGCTACACAGAGAAACCCCGCCTGGAAAACCAAACAGTGGTAATGACGATAACAGCAACAACAGAGGAGCAGCATTGCTGAGCACGGCTCCTTGCAGCCCAGGAAATGCTGGCTGGGCCACAGAGCAAACTACAGGGCCTCCTTCAACACGGAGAAAAACTGTGTTCCGAGTCGTCTAGCCAGCGCCACCTCTTACTGAAATCCAAGCTCTGCACACTCAGGCAGGACTGCGCAGCCTGGCCTCCACAGCTGTCTGCGCTGGGCCTACCCCCACGTCTGGCACCTGTCCCTTCTTAACACGGCAGGGCTCTGCTGCCCACGCTCAGGACCCACAGGCAGTTCTCCAGGGCTCGGGTACACGGCCACACCCGCCAGTGGGCCTGTCTGGTCCCCCGAGCAGGAGACGCAGCTGTCATTTTGCTGGCCCCAGAATGACACCCAGGAGGTGTCCCTGGGGCTGGACCGTGTCGGTGATCCAAGCCACACACTCCTGCTGTCCTTCCGACATCGGGCCTCGACCTGCTGCCCAGCCAAAGCTGCCAGCCGCCGGCTGTGCCTAGCCCTCACGCACGTTAGGCTCCCACTGCCTGAAGACCTTCCTCCCGCTCGTCCAGAGGTGACCTCCACGACCCCCTCCTGGCCCCAACTCCACAGGCCCGAGGGTCACTCCCTAGCCCCCCTCTCAGCCTCGAAGACTGCTTAAGCACCGCTCTCTGGATTCCCGGCCACTCACTGGACCAATGCAAAACCGTGTTTTCACAGTCAGCCTCAGGTCCCCGGTCAATGCTGTCGATACCGATCCCTACTCCAGGTGTTCTAAACACTCCCCTGAAGAGACGCCTTCCCTTTCCTTGATTGAAAAACTGTAGCAACAAAACGTTCCTCATTGATTCGATAAATATCCACATAGCTCCCTCAGTAGAGTGCACCATGCCGAGCACCGGCCGGCCAATTATCCAACTGTATGTAATAGAACCGTCCTTTCATCGGGGCCGCGGAGGAGCTGCGGGGAAGCATCCTGACGGGCCGTTTAACCAGCGAGGGAACTTTCCCTGAGTATTTATAATATCATTTTAAAGGGGAGGAGGCATGAATATTTTTTTTTTCTTGTTTTGTGGTACTGGGGTTTGAACTTCAGCCTCAGGCAAACCAGGCAAGTGATACAGTGCTTTTCAGCAGAGCCACACCCCAGCCCCTCACTGGGGGATTCTAGGCAGGGGCTCTCCCCCTGGGCCACACCCCAGCCCCTCACTGGGGGATTCTAGGCAGGGGCTCCACC